TTTTTTTTTTTTTTGGTACCAGGAATCGAACTCAGGACATTGCGCTTGCCAGGCAGTTGCTTGTGCCACTGAGCTGTATACCTGGCCCATTGGCAGGCTTTATTTAAGATTTTAATTTCCTTTTCATTCCCAATATCCCTTGAAGGCCACACCTCCAGGTACATCACTTCCTCCAATGATATCACTTCCTTCCACCAGGTCTCACCTTCTAAAAGTTCCACCAGCTCTCAGTTGCACCATAGGCTGGGGACCAAGCCTTTAACATGTGGATCTTGGGGGACATTCGTGATCTGAGCCATAATGGGGGACTGACATGTAAGGAGTATACAAGTGTAGATCAGAGAGTGTGTACAAGGACCTCAAAGGAGGGCAACAGGAGGAAGATTCGTGGCAACAAAGGCAGAGATGTAGGGCCATTCACCTGCCATCTGATCATCCCTGGAGGGTGCAGCCAACCTGAGGAGTTGGGGGAAGCGGGACAAAGACATAAAGTGTTCGTGGAGCCAGTGCAGGGGGCACAGGATCTTCATAGGTGAAGGGGACACAGAGTGAATGGAGTGTGGGGAATGGAGTCAGGAGGAAATAGTACCGATATTATAGACAGCTAAGTTATGTGGAAATATTATGGGCAGCCAGACAGCGCTAGGCCCTTGAGAGTCAATACAAAAGATGAAAACACTTTACAGCTGTGGCTGGAGGTGCATCTGCTAGAGGCCAGGCCTCAAGACAAAGACGGAATGACCAGGCCTGCATGCGTCCCCAAAGGATAAGTGGTGACACCTGGCCTAGTGATGTCTACATACACATCAGTCAGCTCGGTGAGTGACCAGGACCCCTGGACCCATCCCTTCCTGAAAAGTTCTTTGTTCTTTCCATGCACACTTGCTACGTGACTTGCTTCCCCATTGGATCAGTATTAACCTAAGTGACTCCACTTGTAACCTTATTGGTTGATCATAGTTTTGTCCCACCTTGTACTCTCCTCATGATTTTGTGCCACCTCATGATTTTCCCCTAAAAAGTGGGGTCCACAGCAACCCACCTGGCCCCCCTCCTGCCTCTCAGGAACTCTCTCCCTCAATAAATATTTCCTACTGTTAACCTCCATTGTTCCTTAGAATTCATTCTTTGATTTTGAGTATGAACATGAACTTGGCATATGTGACATATAGCAGATTGGGAGTTATATTTCTTCTATATCATTCCTGTATCACTGAGAATCAATAAATGGGATTGTATCAAACTAAAAAGCTTCTGCACAGCAAAGGAAACACCCAACAGAATGAAGAGACAACCTACAGAATGGGAAAAACATTTTGCAAGCTCTTCTCAGAGCATTATCAGGTAGTTCCTTTAGAAATGGGTCACCAATCAAACATTTTACAGGTCCTTGCCTCAAGCAAAGAATTGAACATGACAAACCAAAAATGGTGCCAAAAGTTTATTTCAAAAATGAGGAGTGTGCCGGGAGTGGTGGCGCATGCCTGTAATCCCAGCACTTGGCAGGCTGAGGCAGGAGGATCATTGCAAATTCGAGGCCAACCTGGGCTACAAAGTGAGCTCAAGGCCAGCCTGAACTGCACAGTAAGACCATGTCTCAAAAAGACAAAAAAGAAAATAGTGAGGAGTGAAGGGGTAAGGGAAAAACTGGTACTTCTTAGGCTGGGCAGGAGAAGAAAAAAAAAAAAGCAAACCCTAGTCTAGAAGACAGAGATGGGCTACCATGAGGAGTCATGTTAGCAGGTTCTTCATGGCATTTGTGTCCTTATATGTCATCCATCTCTCTTTTTTTTGTATCGGGACTCAAACTCAAGACCTTGCACTTGCTAGGCAGGTGCTTGTGCTGCTGAACTATATCCCCGGCCCATGTCATCCATATCTCATAGGAACCTGTGCGAAGTTTTACATATGGAATCCTGGGAATTATTTGGCACTGTCCTGGGATCTTATAATTAACAGGTTCCACTTATTTTCCCAGCCAGCTTTGCCGTGTCCTACCTCATGTCTCAAGAGGACTAGTATCTAGAATATATAAAGAACTCAAAAATTTAGACCCCTCAAAATAAAAGACCCGATCAAAAAATGAGCAATGGACACATCACAGAAGTACAAACGGCCAATAAATACATGATGCTCAATATCGCTGACATTAACACAAATTAACACTGAGATTTCATCTTACCTCAGAAAGAACAGCTATCATCAAGAAATCAAATAATAGAGAAGGGGGTGGCTTCAGCATCGCAGCACCTGCCTGACAAGCCCAAAGGCTGTGAGTTCCATTCCTGGTACCAGTAAAAAAAGAAAGAAAAAGAGAGAGAAATCAAATAATAACAGATGCTGATGAGGCTGCAGAGAAAAAAGGTAGTCTTCTTCGCTGTTGGTGGGAATGTAAACTAGTGCAACCACTATGGAAATTAGTATGGAGATTCCTCCGGAAACTAAAACTAGAAAGTCCATTTGACCCAGCTATTCCCCTTCTAGGTCATCTTCCCTAAAGAGTTAAAGACATCATATTCTAGTAACCCATGCCACCCGTGTTTATAGCAGCACAACTCTTAATAGCTAAATCTTAGAAGCAGCCTATATGTCCATCAGCGGATGAACGGATAAGGAAAGTGTGGTATTTACAAACAGGGGAGTGCTACTCTGCCACAAAGAAGGATAAATTTGAGTCATTTGTTAGAAAAGTAGATGCACCTTGCATCACGTTAAATGAAATCAGACACACAAGCTTAGATAGTACACAGTTTCTTTCATATGAGAAACCAAATTATAAATAAAGAGCAAAATAAAAGATAGGTAATAGGAGAGAGATAGATCTTTCTCAAATGCGAAGGGGAACAAGAGGAGGAGGGAGGGGAGGCAGGGGAGAGAGGGGGAAGGAGAAAGAATTGAGAAGTGTTTTGTGCTTGCGCCAACTGGGCATGAATAAACATTGTGTCCAGCAAACATGGGCTCATAAAAATGAATACAAGCAAAGGGGGTGTCAGGGGGAGCAAGCTGTTGGGGGTCAGAGCTGTGGTGCCTGTACGCACCCTCTCATTGGCCATTCGGGGGTGGATACCCCCAGAGAGCTGTCCAAGACCCCACATTCTACACTGGCCGTCATCTCCAGGGCCCCAACCCCCCAGGAGCACACTGGGGGTCTGCCCCAGGACAGGACTGGCTGAGGGTGCTGTGCCATCCTCCCAGCGCAGGCCCCCGGGTGCAGTGGGAGGAGCCGCAGGCTGCCCTCCTGGCCCTTGCTGGGAGGAGGCCAGGAAGCTCGCAAGAGTAAACACCGCCTGGTGTCCTGCTCAACCAGCCAGACAGTGAGCAGGGGCCTCCAATTCCACAACGAGGAGATCCCGGGCCCCAGCCGCCCGCTCCTGCCGCCTCGGACTGCTCTTGAGGATGAACCAGCTTTGCCCCTGGGCACGATGCGCCCTTCTCCACACAGCCAGCGCTGGGGGAGTCCTCGCCGGTGCCTTCTTGGTCCTGGGCTGCTGGGGGCTGTCGGACTTCCAGCAGGTGGGCTCAAGCCGGGAGCGTGGCGCTTGGTCATGGTCTTCCTCCTGTTGACCTTGATGGCTTCGGCTTCAGGGATGCTCGGGTGGAGGAACCAAGCCTGGGTTGGGGGGATGAAGGTCGCCAACCAAAGAGGAGTTGGTTTCTTCTACTGAGGACAAACAGATGCCAGTTGTCCCAGACCTGTGTCGGTTGCTTTCCTCTGCCTCCCCTCCCTGTCCCCTCCTCTGTCTCTGATTCTGTCCTTCCCTCCTCTGTCTCCCCTCCTTTTTCCTCTTCCTCCATCTCTCTCTTCCTCTCTTTTCTTGCAGAGCTTTCTGCAGGCTCTGGAGCCCAAGGAGGTGTCCTCTTACTTTGGCGCTGATGCAGCCTTCGAAGGTACACGTCCTGCTGCCCCCTTAGCTGGGGGAGTTTCTCAGATTGGGGGGCAGTGCCCCAGAGTCAGTGGTTGGGGTTCCTGGTGGCTCTGGAGGGATGAGGTCAGAGGAGCAGCAGTCACCCTGTTCCATTAGCTCTGTCACTTCCGGCCAAGTTGATAAAAGCTGGAAGGAATGTTCTGTTCGGGCTGAGGTCCTGAACCCAGGCTTCTGTTGGAGGCCCGAGGGAATGGTCATTAGCTGGCAAGTCCCTTCTGCTAGGGCCTCTGCTGGGCTGGCCTGTTTTCCGGAACTCGAGAGTTTCTGGCTATGGATATAAATATTTATTCCTCTTTTGGGAACAAGGTAGTGCTGGATTGGGCTGCCCCCAGACCCTATCCTATGCACCTCTTTGTGGTAAAGTCTTTTCCCTGTGGCCTGAGGGTCTCAGGGTCTCAGCTCCCTGCCCAGGAGAGCCGTTGTTGGCTTTGATCAAAGGTTGGTGGGGTCCAGAGGTTGGTGGGGTAGCAGTCAGGTTAGAGGATTTAGTGGTATCCTCATTGTGCCCCAGCGGAAGCACCTGGCCAGTGCCGGGGGTCAGGCTGGACCCCAGGTCCTCGAGGCTCTGCCTGTCCTTGAGGGCTTGGATGCCATCACCGGGGGCCAAGCCCTCTGCCTTCTGGGCGGCTTTGGGAGGAGGACCGTGAGCTGGCCTGGTGCCTGCTTTCCAGGAGACCAGACTCCACTTGGGTTCTCCCGTTGTCCCGTGGCATTCAAGACTGCAACTAACTTGCAAGCCCTACTTGGCCCCCAGGAGGGCCCGGGGGAGAAGAGGCCACCTGCTGTCCAGCAGCCCTGAAGCTAGGAAGATCAGGACTTGAACCCAGGCCGCGTCCTGCAGGCCTGTGCACCCTCCTCTCACCAAAGGGAGCAACTCAGGCCCATCCCCCAGCAGGAGGACACAGGCAGCCTGGCAGGGTGAGCAAGGTGGCCCCTCTGTCCCTCAGTGCCCCGATTCACCGTGGCTCCACTCACCTGCGCCTGCAAGGACCAGCTCCAGACACGGCCCTGCAGGGCCCTGCGCTGCTCCCTGAGTGCCCCAGGAGTGCCCTTCATCTTCTCCTTCCGGGCCAAGCAGGGCCTCTTGGCTACTTCCTTCATCCAAGAGCGCTTGGTGAACACCTCCCTCCAACTGCTAAAGGAGCCCCTCAGCCAATGCTTCGTAGGGGAACGTGCCCTGCTGCCCCCTGGCACAGTGGCCAGGATCATGTACTGCTCAGGCTACTTGGTGAGTAGGGCTTGGGATGGTAACGGGGACAGGTGGTGCCTGGCGGGACCCTGTGTGTAGAGGTGTCATCCCGGATCCCCCCGTGTGGCCAGCATGCTGGCAGTAGCCCATATCCTGTCTGCCTAATGTCAAATGCACAAGAGACCCTGTTCCCAGGGGGCAACAGAGGCATAGATGAGGAGTGTCCCCAGCCTACCCAGTTAGTGCAAAAGAAGGGTTGGCAACTCCCCAGAGCACCAGGAATAACAGGGGTTGGGGCTTCGGAGTCATACTCTGAGTGCAGGTCTCCTTGGGCCAGTCCCTGGGGCTGGATCCTGCACGTGACCACAGCAGCGCCTGCCTGGCTCTCTCACACACCCCATTAGGGCTTGTCCAAGTGCACCACACAGCCAGAGCCACCGAGGTTGTCATGCACGATGCCACATCCTGGCTTCTGGGTGGGACCCACAGGACCACGTGCAGGAGCAGGACTGGCATGGGAGCGGGTGCTGGCGGCACATGGCAGGCAGTGATCCAGGTCCCCGAGGGGTGTAGCTCCCTGATTGTCCCACAAAGATGGGCTTGGGGGACCGTGGACTTGGGCAGAACCCCTGAAGTAGGCTCAGACAAGTCCATGCCCAGGGGGTTAGCCTTGCACGCTGGAGGCCACCCACTGTCTCTACTGCAGGAGGGCGACATCCAGGTGGGCTCAGGCAGACTGTATGTCCAGCCAGTGAAGAGGAAGCACTGGACGCTGGTGCCTCCCCGGAAGGGGGCCCTGCCCCACCTGATCCACAGGCCTGCCACCCTGGGGTTTGCAAAAGGTACAGCTCTTGGGAGAGGACGGCACCTCCAGGGTCAGCCGGGAGGGCTGGCTCTGCCCCGCCTCTGGGAGGCTGTGGGGAAGGAATGCCCCGCTGAGGTGGGACCCCTGAGCTTTCGGGGAAGGGAGCGCCTAGTGGGGTGTGTGGCCATCGGCCTTCGGAGTCTTCTGGCCCCAGGGCTGCTGGGAGAGGGCTTTTGCTGTTTCCTTTGTTGAAGATGGGGACCTGGAGCCTCAAAGGTGGGACATGGCTGCTCCAAGATCACATGGCTCAAGGGCACGGCAGAGATCTGCAGCCTCCCAGGCCTGGCTGGCGCCCTCCACCAGGCTGCATCAGGGTCCGAGAAGAGTGGCGTCTTGGGGTGACCCTGTTCTCCAGCACATGTCCAGGAGGACAGAACGGGGGCTTGGGGCTTTGTACATAGCCTTTGCAGGGGTGGGATCCTTGTCCCACTTGACAGATGAGATGGTCACAGAAACTCCCTCCTGTGGCTCACCCTCTTGTGTGCCTAGAGTGCCTGCTGGCCCTTGGGGTGCCCATGCCATGCAGCACCTTGGCTTCCAGCAAGAGCGTCCCTTGAAGCCCAGCCAGCCTGTCTCTCCCCTCCAGGAGATCCTGCCCCTGGACTCTGGAGACAGAGACGAAGACGGAGATGGGGACGGGCAGCAAGGGGCATCCTGCACCTGGAGCTGCTGGTGGCCGTGGGCCCTGATGTCCACCACGCTCACCAGGAAGACACCGAGCGCTACATGCTCACCAACCTCAACATCGTGAGTCTTGGGGTGGCAGGGAGATACAACACTCAGAGTGTGTGCCATGCATGGCGGTGCATTTAGGCTCAGCGGGTTGAACTTGGTGTACACCTGAGGCTGGGTTGGTCAGGGGCTGAGCCTGGAGAGGGGCAGGGAGAGGGACAGTCTGCTCTCTCCTCCTCCTCTCCTGCAGTGTGCAGGTCTGGGACCACCTGTGGTCTCCATAGTGCACCCCACAAGGAGCCTTTCACCACTCAGATCCGTGTGGCCAGCAGTGCCTGGCAAAGAAAGGTGCCGTCTGCCCACACTACCCTCTGCTCGCCAGCCCCGCTCTCTCTCAAGCCTGTCCTTTTCCTAGCCAGGGGTGTGGGGCAGACAGGCAGACGGAAGTCTAAACAGACAGCCCGGCAGTGGAGATGCACAGCTCCTCCCGCTCCTGCAGGCACCGTCCCCACGGTCCAGGGCTTGGGGGACAGGGAGCACCACACCCCTCATCACCATCTCAGAGGGACAGAGGTCCACACCGCACAGTGGATGTAACCAGCTGATCGTCAGGGTTCCTCTGCACATGCACACGCACACATACACACACGCACACACGCACACATGCACACACACATTCACACACAGAGAACATGCATAGAAAATGACAGCCCCAGGCTGAGAGGTCGGGCATTCCCCACCACAGCGCTACACCCTAGGACAAGCTTTGTAGAGAGTGACTAGGGCATCACTGAAAAACTGCTCTAAGGTTCGACTGACTGGATTTGAAGGACACTGAAGACCTAGTTTCAGGGAGTGGCCGACAGCTCCCGTCCCCTGCCGACTCACTGGCCTGCTGCAGGGCGGGAGGTGCCTGCTGGCAGTGGCCATGGAGGGCGCTTGGCCCTGGCCTCCTCATCCTGCCCTGTCCCAGGCATCTGGCCCAGCGGCTCCTCCTGCGTATGGTCCCAGTCCCCAACAACCACATGTAGGTTTTCTGCCCCAGCCACAAAGGTGGTTTTCGCAGTGAGAACCGTTTCCTCTAAGTCACTGGAAGCCATTGTTCGGGGTCTCTGCCCCCACCCAATCACCCAGCGCGGGCTGCATTGGCTCTTTCGCCTGCTCTCTGAGGGCCGCTGGGCAGCAGAGATAAGATTAGTTCCTGCCCCCGTGCTTCCTGTGGTGGGAATAGCTATTGTCAGCTCCGGGCATCCACCTGGTGAGGTCCTTCACAGCCACGTTGTCCCCAAGTGCGCTGACAACTAGGGAAGGCTATATCTCCATTTCACAGATGAGGAAACCAAGGCTCAATGCTTGATTAATGGGACCCTGAGCACACAGCTGGGAAGGGGCAGAGACTGGATTTGAACTCAGGCCAGCGGTGGCTGGTGATGGGCTCACCTCCCACAGGCGCTATGTGCTATGGGATGGACAAGCCAGGGCAAACAACGGTAATACAGTCAGTCATGAGCTGTGTACTGACAAAGCCAGGGCAGGAATGGGCTTGTGGTGGCAGGAGGTGGCCCTTGGGGTCAGACTCAGCAAGCAGAGCGGGGGAGGTGTTCCTGGCAGGTGGGCGGAGAGAAGACAGGGCCACGCAGGCGGAGGCCGAGGGTGATGGTGCACTCTCGCCATCTTTCAGGGGCTCCCTCTGTGGGGTTGGCTGTCTGATCCACAAGCCAGGGGAGGCCCAGAGGCTCGCGTGACTCTTTGTCATCTATTGAGGGCTCGCAGCCCGAGCACAACCACTTGCCCACACCCGGATGGTGTGTCCTGTCCTGGTGTCCCCATCGGGCCCGGGGCCAGTGCTGCCCGCCTGTGTGTTGCCTCCACAGGGATCCAAGCTGCTGAGGGACCCCTCCCTGGGGGTGCAGGTCCAAGTGCACCTGGTAAAGCTGCTCATCCTTACAGAGCCCAAGGTAGGCTCCCAGCTGGGTTCCGGACCCACGTGGAGTCAGCAGCCTCCGCCCTTTAGCCTCCTCCTGCAGTGCCTTTGGGGCACGGTGGCTCTAGGGGCTGTCAGCCAGGTGGGCCGGCCCGTGACTACTTGCGGAAGCCTCAGTTTCCCCATCCGTAACGTGGGGTGGCAATGGGGCTGTTATGAGATGACCGAGAAACATACCAACAGTGTCAGCACCATGCTTGGGATAGCTCCAGAAAAGCAGGCACTGCTATTGGTCCCGCAGGGAACCCCAAATATCACTGCCAACATCACCTCATCCCTGCTGAGCGTCTGTGAGTGGAGCCGGTCAGTCAACCCTGCTGACGACAGGGATCCTGGGCACGCAGACCTGGTCCTCTATGTCACCAGGTAGCCAAGTCACCATGGCATGCACCTGCCCGGAAGGCCAGGCCTTGACCTGTCCCGCCCTCTGCCCAGGTGACTACTTGCATGGGCAAGTGGTGCCATCTGATGACTGCTTTCTCTTGCCAAGGTTTGACCTGGCGCTGCCTGATGGCAGTCGGCAGGTGCAGGGTGTCACCCAGCTGGGGGGCGCCTGCTCACCCTCCTGGAGCTGCCTCATCACTGAGGACACTGGCTTCGATTTAGGGGTCACCATCGCCCATGAGGTCGGGCACAGGTATGTAGCTGTTCCAGCTGTCCCCAGGCTCTGGCTGGGGAGCTGGCCCAGGCGCAGGGTGGACGGAGGGTCTTGGCGGGCAGTGGGCCCTGGCAGAGGCTGCCAGGGGAGCCTGCACCTGACCCAAAGGACTGGCAACGGTAGGGCCAGCCAGGGCCACCTGACACTTCAGGCCACCTGACACTTACCAGATAGTTAGAAGAACATTCCCTGCCCCTGGCCAAAAAAAGTAAAATAAACAGCCATTAGGAAATAAGTTCTGCAGGAAACTCAGGTAATGAAAAGGCAGGCTGTCACAGTGACCCCAGATGCCACCACTTGAAGGAGGTTCCTCTCGCACTGTGCTTTCTGTTCCAGTCTTTCTTTACGTACATGCACACGATATTTTATGTGCCAAACTGGGCTCATGTGGAACCCTGCTTTTCAGCATAACAGCATATCCCCAAAATCTCTCCCAGATCTCTTATATTGTTTTTATAATGCACCGAAATTTATTTGATTTATTTCTTCATGTTGGGTACTTAGACTGTTTCTGAATTTGTCCTGTTACGTACAGTATGCATTGCTGTGAGCAAATCTTTTCTCCTGTCTTTTGTCATTTCCTTAGGGTAATGGGTTTCTTTTTGATTTTTGTTCTTTTTTCACTTTTTTCACTTTTTTTTTTTTTTTTTTTTTTTTTTTTTTTTTT